TATCCTGCTATATATAAAAAAATAGTGTCTGTGTGTGTGTGTGTGTGTCTGTGTGTGCCACTTTGCATCCACTTCCGGATGTCAGTCCGGAGGATATCTCGATAGGGGATGAATTTTAAGGTATGTAAGATACGTCATTAGATGCGTAATGGCCTGGAGATGACTGCACGCATATCAGATTTAACAAAATCGCTTATTTTCGACATTAAATTTAAGTTTTTGTAAAAATCTCTTTGTTAGGAACAATTAGCGTAGACCGGAAGTGGGGATTCGACTATATAAAGGGGCTCAACAAGGTAGTTTTTCATTTTTGTCAACTGAATTTAGGAAAATTATGTAAAGTGAAGGATAAAACGGGGTCTGACGGGGCCAGGGTTGAAAAGTCGCGAAGCGGCTTTTCAACCCTGGTTTAAATACAAAAAATTATTTAAAAACTTTAGAATGGTCCAAAAGGCGAAAAACATATATTTTTGTAACATTTTCACGCGTGACCTGACCTTTAAAAAGCACCCAAAAACCACCGTACCTCAACTCATTTCGCCTTCCGCTTCTCGTGCCCATTCCGGGCCACGTTCACCAGCATCCGGTTGCCAGAGTTCGGGTCAGCAGGCTTGTTGCCTACCCGCTCCTGCTTGGGCGCCCTTTCCGGAGCTCTTGATCTCGGCCGAGCCGTGCTCCAACTCGTATGCTAGCTCTTCCGCCGCCGACGGCATCTGCAAAGCAGAGAGTGGAAATATACAAAAAAATAGAGATTTTATATTAGCGCAATTTTGCTCGTCAATCAAAAGTTGAGGATGAACGAGGGTGTACTAACGACACTGGGGTCAGAATTACATGTCGTAACCGGCTGGGCTATTCGCAAAACCTTTTTCAAAGTCATTTTTTCGTCAGTTTTGCAAGGAAAGAATTAAAGTTAGCTTATAGAGGCGTTAATAATCTATCTAAACCTTGAAAATGAAATTCAAAAAGGTTTGATATTGCTTTTTTATAGTATAAACCATGGGTTAAACTGCTAAATCATTTTTCCAAGCGCAGATTAATAAAACGTCTAGAATATCGCGCCGTTTCTAATGCTCGACAACGTTTGGCTCCTTGGTACGCCTCTATTTACTCTATCAACGCTATATTTCACCAATTTGCACATTTCCGAACCAAAATCCACATTTTTCACATAGTTTCACGCGCCTTTCTCGAACAAAACTCAAACACACTGACCTGTGCGGCTGTAGTGTTGGTGTTATAGAATTGTCAGAACCGAGGTGTAGATGGTGGGGTGGCTCTGAGCTTTAGAGGGCCCCGGGGCCCTTATATGCCATCCCGGGGTATCCCCCCCCCCCGCTCACGTGCCCCCACCCCCCGATGGCCACGCCCCCCTTTTGTGTGTTTGTGTGTGTGACCCCCTGACCACGAGGTATCCTCCTAAAAAAGCGGAGAGAACGGGTGTTTTGTGTAGAGAGGAGACGGTTAGAGGGGGAGAACCTTCTCGAAGAGGCCGAGCCTTTTGAAAAGAAGCTAGCTGTGGCAGGGGCTAGGACTGTAGCGACGATGAAATGGGGGGTGAGCACGTCACTTGGATCGAAAAGAGGTTTCATAAACGGTACGCGGATGTACAATTGACGCTTGAATCGAGAGTCTTGAAGCGGAAATTCGGATTTAAAGGGACCGGGAAGTCGGCTTTTTTAATGGGATTTAGGAATGGAAAATTTGTTATCTAGGTGCCTTAAAATGGGACTTTCGGTTTTGGCTTGGTTCATTTTAGGGAGCGGGAAGTTCGTTTCCTATTCGGTTTACCAGCCTCAGTTTTGCCTTCGGTGTTTTTAATTTCTTTACAAGACACCAATCTATGTTTTGGCATCTTGGCGATTTTTCTGTTTTTTTTTCAGGGGATTTGGGCTTTGCCACTAAAAAAATAAAAACTTAAAATTTGTTAGTGACGTTTTTAAAATGGCGCTTTAACATTTTTTAAATGGTTATATTGCCAGCCATTTTTTCCGGGAGGTACTTTGGTCATCCCGACGTATCGTAGCGTAGCGTATCGTACCCATGGGCACGCCAGTACACGGCGATACTATCCCGGCTACGCCACTTGCATCATCCGGCTAATCGCTATCGGCCTCTCTCTCTCTCTCTCTCTCTCTCTCTCTCTCTCTCTGCCGACTAAAAGTGGCCAGTGATGACAGCTGCCAACCTGGGCGTCGATAGTACCGTTGCGTCTGTCAAATTGTCGGGGTTACTCGGCAAAAACATTGACTGTAGTATTGACTGTATTTTTTTAAGGCTTCGTTCGCCTGGAATTCACAATTCCCAAATGAACGCTGCTAGTCTGCACGGATATACGGGATCAAGCTACGATCCCCCCCTAACGACCCAGCACCATATATCTTTATTTTTCCGAAAACCTTCAGCTCCCCTCCAATTTTCCGGTGGTCATTCCTGCAACCCCATGCGGCGACCCCCAGCCTCGGCCCTTCCAGCGCACACACATACACACACAAATACCGAAAAAAGTGTGTGCAACAGGAGGGGGCTGCGGCATCGAATGGCCGACCGCGACGCGCCCGTGGTGGCCGACCGTGTTTACGTCCCGTTCGGCCCGCTCCGCTGCTGCCTGCGCCCTCCTCTTGCTTTTTTTGGCCCCCCCCCCCCCCCGCGCCGTTCCGTTCGAGCGCGAAAAAAGGCGCTGAGAAAATGAGAAACAGCCCCCTCGCTGGGCCCCCCTTCCCTGGTGGGCCCTATTAGGTGGGCCAGGGCCCCAGGGCTGCCCACCCGGAACCCCTGATCTCTCCATGGGGGGTTACGGTAACCAGGTGAACGGCTAATGAAGGGGTAAGAAAAAAGTGGTCCCTCTGGGACGTCGAAAAATCCGGTTTGTAGACGGCTGGGGAACCTGAATTTTTTAGATGAAGCGTCATAGACTAAAAATTCAAATATTTTGTTGGCATTTGACAAGCGCTTTTAAAGGGGCAGGGAAGGCATGGGTTTTGGTTTTCCGAAGTCTGATAAGCCTGAAATTTTGTTTCGGGGAGACGTGACAGCTTAAAACCCCAAATAACTTGTTGAAATTTGAATAAGTCTGTTTTAAAGGGACAGGGAAGTCATGGATTTTGGGTTTAGACGGCTTGGAGAGCCTGAAAATGTTTAAACCGTGATTAAGTAGATTCTAGAAAGTGTAATACACAATTTAAGCGCCGAAAAATCATGTAGAAATTTAAAACAAAAAACTCCGGCTACGGTTAAACGTTAAAAATGTGTAAAAAAGCTGATGCCCTACAAAAATTACAGATACCCAGATATCACCAGTAATTTTACGAAATCAGCAAACCGATCCGGGGCCCCTTTACTGATCTCTGTGTTGCTGAGCGGGCGCTATCTGATCGTGAAAGCCTTTCTCTCTCTCTCACTCTCTCTCTCTCTCTCTCTCTCTCTCTCTCCCCACTCCCACGTGACGCTACAAAACGGGGTCGACCCGGGTGGTTGCAGACCCGTCGCCAAAAAGTCTCTGAATGTGTGGGGTGGCGAGGGTTGTTGACATCCCCTAACATTTCATCAGGCTAGCCGCTAGTGCGAGCACTTTCCTACACACAAAGAATTGACGAAATTCAAATGGTGGTATGAACTTTTGAAAATGTATTTCAAGTGTTTGCACTTCAGAGACTTTCTCTGGGTACAACCGATTACGCTATGAAAATATGGGTGTAGGGGTGATGGCTGTAAAACGCGAAAAGCAAGCGAAAAGTCCAAGCTTCTAAGCCAAGCCTAGCCTAGCGTAAGCTCAAGTCAATCAAGCCCGAACTTACGTCTATGATAAGCGAAATTACAAGCCTTGGCTCAAGACAAAGTCCAATACACCCAAAGTCTAAGCCTAAGCCTAGCCTAAGCCTAAGCATAACTAAGACTAAGCCAAAGCTTTAGGGTAAGATGACGGTAAGTCTAAGCTCAAGACGAAGCACAAAAATTACCATAGGCCAAATTACAAGCTTAAGCCCAAGTCTAAGCCTACGCCGGAGCTTCGTATTTTT